ATAAATTACCAATATACTAATATTTTACCGGTGGACGACGGTCGTCCAAAACCCGTCCATAAGATTGCAGCTTAACAGTACCTGCACGCACACTATTGAGCACTTGTTTATAATATACGTTTCAAAATATTGTTCAGACGACGCTGTTGGTCGTCCAAACACTGATCGTTTGTGCGCACCTGCATATGCCTTGGGAAACGACTTTAATATTCGCACACGACAAATGTATTATAACTGTTTTAAAATTTGCATTTTTAATAAAAACGTAGAATTAAGAATATATAATTAATTTTCTTCTTTTAATTAATTTTAGTAGGGGGTGCGATTGTTTTAAAGTAGAAGCATAAAAACAGCAATTATTGATATTTTTTTTAGAAATTATGAAACTGCTAATTTTTATAACTATTTGCTTCGATGCGTAACCAAGAGGCTATTGGTTATACTCTATTATTATTAATTAATTTTTTTGTGTGTCCATGCACGCAATTACTCTACTCCTACTGGACAAATTTTGCTCAATTATTCGTCAAAAGATCACAAAACGTATTTNCAAATTTTGCTCAATTATTCGTCAAAAGATCACAAAACGTATTTATTCGAATGATACATGAATTAAAAAAAAATTTCAATTATATAAATGCTTTTCTAAATGTTAACATACGTTTTCTGAAAATATCATTAACCAAAGTACTGGGAAGGGATAAAATCATCATAACAAATGTGTTTCTTTTCAATTTTGTATAGTGTTTCAAAAAACTGGTCTTCTTTAAATCTACATTAAACTGAAGTTAATATAATGTACTTTGAGATGATAAAATAAAAACTATCCGAAATTCGAGTTCTAGAACTTATAGACTATTCCAGAAAAATATTTAAACATGTGTAATAGTAATTGTACCAGCAAGACGAATATATTGTAATTGTTTGACGTTGTTAATAAATAATAATAGTCATTTTAATAGTTAATTTAATTAATTAATCTGACCTAGTAATTTGTGGCAGTTAACAATGTGGTCAGAGAAGTAATAATATTGATATATAATATTAAACTAGCAGTTACTGCTATTAATCGTTTTGATTAGCAGCTATTTATTGTGATATTGGGAAATAACAGTGCTGAAATCACCGCTATTATTATTCCTTACCCCAACTAAAATAAAATTACTGCGCTCCTCGCTGTTCTATTGTGTACCGCGTTTGCTGTTTTGTTGTCGATCATAATATTAAATGTATACCAATTTATACTGAGCTACTTCATTGATAAACTTTTTTAAACCTAGGCTGACACTGACTCCAAAAATAACAACAATTGTAAATTATTATCCTAATAAATAGTATCTAATATAATAGTTTTTTGGTCGGTTTATTTCGTTGTAAAATTTTTCCAAACAATAAATACAACTTTTTATTTGTCTTAATATTTAATATACATGGGTGGATTTGATGAAGGGTTTTAATAAAACTTGTCTTATTTTTGGGATCCTCAGACGTCAATCGCAAAAAAAATGAATTCAATATCTTTAAAGTTTTAATGATTCTATCAAATCATATATGTACCCACCCTCTCCCTTAAATAAACAATATAATATTATGTTAGTNCAAGTATACAATTATTGGTGTACTTGGCAAGTACACCAGTCGTGGGAATCCGGCTTTATGTTAGTTGTTACATAAAAAAAATTAAAGGTGGTGCGGGTTCATCTATTATACAATATTTTATTGTGGAATCAAATTAAATTAAAAATATTAGGAAGAACCGGCCGAACAAAGTACCTAAAACTATGAACAAAATGAAAATCTTATAAATATATAGCACAATGAATATATTGCATGAGAGAACGTGACTCGGCGGCCAAATGAAAAGATAGAAAAAATCCTGTCTCACTCAATAGTCAGTCAATTGTGTTCTTTCGTGTCCCGCTGTTTAGAAATAAATTCACAAGCAAACTGGCAACGTTGTTTTCGTAAGTCTTTATAATTAAAAGGGACAGAGCGTTGAAACCATTTTATGGTTTATGAATTATAGACGTTGCCAGGTTGCTTTTTAACTTACGTTTTATTTGAATTTGTCGCAGTTATGAAAATATTTGACCGTCTGCTGAAAACGGTTGTTTGAATGTTTCGATTAAATACACTAAAATTATTGCTATTAATAGATCGTCCGGTTGAGTTATTTTTCTATTTGTTATTTATTGCCTATTAAAGTAGTAAATAAATTGAATTTATAAAATGTATGCTGTTTATTACGTCGGCTTTACAATTTTTGGTACAAATTATTCAAGCACCATTTTTACTACATTAAAATTATTCTTTTTTGTTAAGTTATTAGCAGAAATGTTTCTTATATTTGATATAAACGTTTAAAATTGTTTATTTACATTTTATTTGAGACTAATATATGTTGTAATTTTATTTATTTAATGGATAATGCACTGTAATAACATTGAAATTAAAATTAAAAAATATAAATAATTGTTTACAAAACTGTGAACTAAATAAATGTATAAAACTGTTAAATAAGAATCGTGTGAAATATTACTTAAAAATGTTTTTTAAATGTTGTTTAATTAGCTTTAAAGAGTGATAGTTATTATTGATTACTAAATTATTCCTAAAGTAATAATATTTTTAGAAATATTTTATTTGCTTTTGTGAAGTACTATTTATCTTTCCAATAATAAATGGTTAAATACTTTAAGGGTTTTTCTTTTATCTATTAAAATGGTACAAATTTTATTTTTTTAGATGGCAACATATATTTTTCAAAATAGTTTTTAGATCAGTAATTTGGAAATTATTACTATTATTATATTTAGACGGGTTCATATGCGCGGCCGAGAAATGTCTAATTATAAAAATAATCATATCGAAGTACTAATATACTATAAGACAGCAATTTTAGAGTGATAAATTTGAAACTGAAATTTAATATTAATTAAAATTTATAAAAAGCTTCTAATATAGATAACTATTTAGTAAATGACAGACCGATAAAAATGTTTGGACCAGTACTAAGTAACTTATTAACATATTTATTTTCAGGCGAGTAGAAGTTCGCGACCGAAAATGTGTAATGATAAAATCCGATAGCTAATATACTACAAGAAAGCACTTGGACAGCAATAAATTGAAAACTACACAACAAACTCATTGATTATTTAATTAATTTCTATGAATAGATTTTTGATAAAATGTATACCTAAGTCAATCGAGTCAAGTAGTAAGAATGACAAATTCAAATATTTGGATGAACAAAATTAAAGTGTCATAAATGTATAGTGTAATGAATACA